AGTTAATGGTATTTTGTTATAGTAGCCCAACCTAAGACAATACTATTTCCAGTTTTCAATGGAATGCTGCTGTTTACATCTACTTTTACGATTTATTGTATAGAGTATCTCCTCCCATAGCAGGCCTTGTACTTTTCTAGGCTATTTTGGGATCAAACTCTTGATATGGGTCCAGAAGCAATGGCATCTATCCCAGGTGCAAACATAAAAGGTTTATATCCAGGCTCCCTTATTGCTTTTTTCTCAAAATTCATTAGAAAAGGTGATCAGTTCAGTTTCAGCTGGCAGAGACAGCAGTATACCTTCATTATCTTATCTTAGGGTCTTTAATTGTTTAGACATGGTATCATTTTGATCCATCACATTAAAGACATTGTATTCATTGGTCCTAGTGAACAGAAGTAGTAAGTGCCCTAGATGTCTTAGTAAGATATGTGCTGGACGGTGAGAGATAAATACCATGAAAAATCAGGGGCCTGCCACTTTGGCAAAGCTTCTAGGGGTCAAGCAGTCTACGGAATATCACAGTATCCCTTCTAAAGTGAAAGACAAGTGGCTACACCTTGCACTGCCTACAACTAAGAAAGGCACAAGGTTTGGCTTGTTTGGATTTTGGATACAACCATATTGGGTGTGCTGCTCCAGTCTACTGACTGAGGAAGCCATAGGCTGTTAGTTTCAAGAGAGACATGGACAATAAAAAACTACAGCTTTGATGCAAGCTGTTCTGCTACTCAGGCCTTATGACCTATAAGTTTCAACGATGCTTAAAGTGCCTTTGCAACTAAGGATGCCAAATGGTGCTCCACTATAAAGCCTCACTACAGCAGACCTCTAGGGTCTTGAAGCGAAGCTTTGCCTTCTGCTAACTCATTCTCCATTTGAGAAACCTTTGACTTACTCCTGGGTCTTGGCAGAGACCAAACTCCTGCCCATGGGATACCAAGCAATATGCCACTCAAACTGCCAATTGTGTATTGGGTGCTGGCTGATCATCAAGCTGTCAAGATAAGCAACTGCAGTAGTAACCATAAAGTAGTAGTAACCTATTATCACATGGAACTGCTATTTATGTCCGGTATAATAAAAAATATATATATTTGGCCTTTGCCCTTAGTTCCTGGCTCCTAAAACCCTTGGAGTTTCCTGAGTGACAGGACTCTCCTTCTGTTGCAACGAGCCCCTTTTGATCATACCTGAGTTTTTTGCTAATGAGATGACTCACGGTGCCACTTCTAGATAGCTTCAGGATGGGGGCTGGTTGCCAGAGGGAAGGGGCTGGAGATTGAGTTCAATCACATGGCAAATAATCATGACTACATCATGCAGCCTTGACAAAAACTCCTGAACAAGGTTTGGGGGATCATCCAGGTTGGTGAACACATTGATGTGCTAAGAGGGTAGCAGGCCCAGAGAGGGCACAGAAGCTCTGCGCCCCTGCCCCCATACCTGACCTAGGCATCTCTTCCATTTGCCCATTCTTGAGTTATATTCTTTATAATAAACTAGTAATCGTAAGTATAGCACTTTCTTGAGTTCTGAGTCATTCTAGCAAATTACCAAACCTGAGGGGTTATGAAAACCCCTCAATTTGTAGTTGGCCAAGCAGAGTGTGGGTAGCCTGGGGACCTCACTTACGGCTGGTGTCTAAAGTAGGGGCAGTCTTGTGGGACTGAGTCCTTAACCTATGGGGTCTGTGCTAACTCCAGGTAGCATCAGAATTGAACTGAATTGTAGGACACTCAGTTGGTGTTGGAGAACTGGTCTTGAAAAATGACATGAGATGACTCAAGCAGGTCAAGTAGGCAAAAGTAAATTGCATGAAGAGGTGGCTCAGGTTCACATTAAATTTCTCCTGCTGAGTTGTCCCTATGCCTCTGTCCACCTATTCTGGATATGAATTTGCTTTTCCTCCCCCAAACTCACAAACAAGTAATTTGTGGACTTCCCAAATTACTTACTCATCATCACTGCTTCTGACCTGAAAACTTCTCACAGCAAAAGTGTAGCACTAGGCTTAAGACCATGAATTCCCTAATGTTACCATAAACTCCCATCACCCAGAAGTAGCTTACCTAATGGGTGGTGGAAAGGCCTACCTACTGAAGACTCACTTACGGTGCCATTTCTGAACAGCCAGAATACATCAGCCTGGGAACCCAATGGGGGAAGACAGGAATGGCCCCTCTTATTGTTATGCCAGATAATGCCTGAAGGAATTTTTGCTTCCCATCCTACGACTTTGGGCTCTGCTATCCCAAGGGAGGACTGCTTCCACCAGATATGACAACGGTACCACTGAACGAGCAGTTGAGACTGTCATCTGAACCAGCAAGCAGGGATAGGGGTTACCGTTATTAGCTGGTGCAATGGACCCCAATTACTGGGGGGAAATTGGGTGGCTGGCACACAGTGAAGACAGGAAAATCTCTAATCTGTCTTCACTGGGCACCTCTTGGTACTTACTGCTTTCAGGTTCAACTGTAACAAACAAGAAAAAAGGAAGTCCTCTAAAAAGAAGACTATTAAGGTCTCAAATCTTTCAGGAAGGGAAGTTAGGTCCCAACCAGCCAAGGTACTGGCTGAGGGCCAGAAAACAAGGACTAGGTGATAGAGGGAAGAGGTGATAAATATCAAATAGTGCCTCATGACTACTTATAGAGACCAGGACAGAGCATTTTTCACTTTAATGCATTCACTTCCCCATTTTGTATGACGTGCTGGGGTGCATTCCCTGTGCACAATAGTAAACGGGCCGACTCAGGACTGAAGAAGTCTGTGCATTATCTGGATGGTCTGCACTATTGAGCTATGACACCTCGTGGGCCTTGGACAGAAAATTAGAGCATCTTCTTCCTTATGAAGAACACTTGCCTTACATTGGGTAGGGGCATTAGATGACACTTCAGTCATTACATGTGGGTGCAAGGGTGAGACACAAACACTGAGCAGTCACAGCGGTGGACTGTGCTGGTCACCTGCTGCTGTGCTTCCAGACCAGGTCTCACCTGTCTGCCCTGCACAGGGCAGGCCCCTCATCTAGCTCTCGTGAACAGAAGGCAGCAGGGCAAAGACAGGCATTTCTCTCCCTCTCACTTGCTGCAGGCAGCACCTCTGGCAGCTGACGCATCTCCTCTGTGGGGATGGCTCCTGCCAGAGAGGCCCTGTTCCTGAGTCCCAGTAGTAATTCCACTGACCCTCCAGCCCCAGAGTCACAGCAGCTTCTGGCTGTGGCTGTCTCTAGGTCGCCTCACCACGCTGCCTGTCTTAGCTCCTCCATCATCAGAGTCATCAAATCCTTGTACTAAATTCCCTTGCTTTGAAAACATAGGGTGGTTTCTGTTTCCCCGCTTGGCTCTAATACAGTGTCCTGTATTAGGTTAAGGCATCCTGGGCCAGATTGCAGTCGGTCCTGATGTATTTTTTCATCTTTTATTATGAAAATTTTTAAACCATAAATAACCATATACTCACTAACCAGATTAAATATTTTAAAAAGATTTTGCCATGTTTACTTAATCCATATACATGTGTGTGTTTTTTCCCTAAGAGAACCATTTCAAAGTAAGTTGCATATGTTACGGCTTCTACTCTTAAATAATTCAGCATACAACTCCTGAGAAGTATTCTCTTATATAGACATTATTACACCTAAGAAAATTAACAATTCCCCTCAAAACTACTATCCAGGACAGATTCGAATTTACCCAATTAACCCCAAATATATCTTTATAAGCTGTTTCCTCCCCCAATTTAGAAACTAATTAAGTTTCACACATTGCATTTGGTTATGTCCCCTTAGTTTCTTTTAATCTAAAACAGACCCCTCACTTTTGTTTTCCCACTAACATTGTCTATTTGATGAAACTAAGCCAATCACCTATAGAATATTCCATGTTTGTCTTTTTCCTCATGGTTTCATGTCATTTGTTCCTCCATCTATAAATTGGGAGCATGCCACGGGAGATGCACACGACACTGTGCCAGGCCATCCACAGTGAGCTGTGAGTAAAGTGGAGACTATCAATCTTGGAGCTGTAAAAGTGGAATTTCACCTTAGTTTTAGGACCTGTTGATGAATCTAACCTGAACTGATTATTTCGCTGGGGGTTGCAGAATGGTGGTTCTCTAATTGTATCCATTCCCTCCGTATTAATTAGCTGGCACTTTTCGGTAAAGAATGTTCCCTCGTCAAGGATGAAAGGCAGGGTGAATGCCTCTTTCTCTTTAATTATCATCTCCCCTGGTAATGAGTTGTGTGATGCTCGCTTCCACTGCTGGCTTTAAATGAGCCCTCCCTCCCTTGTCAGCTTAATACTGGTGCACACGGATACTTATTTATCAGTAGTTGATAATCAACTTCAATCATTCTTCTTCTGGATGCTGAAACCAAAGAGACATTTCTTGGGTTCCTGCTGCTGGGGCTAACTAAGATTTCAGCTTCAGCAGCATCAAGCAGAAGGATGCAGAACTCGGTGGAAAAGGTGAGAAGGTTGTAAACCAGTGACCTTAATGTAGCGTTGGCTAATATGCAGAAAATGCAGACACGTACCAGGGTTGTAAGTTGAAAGAAAAATCCATCACTGAAATAAGTAAGCAGTAATTTAGAAAAAGTTGTTTTATATTAAAACCTAAACCAAAGGAATAAATGTCATGTTCAAAGGTCCTAAAAAGACACTGAGATACTCATAAATATACCTGTATAGTAGGTTTTTGGGCAAAGGACACTTGGCAAGATATTACTACATGGTACAAGTGAGTATGCATAAAACGTGAAAAGATCATAGTCGTGAGAGTAGATACACAGTGGAAGCATCTTACAGAAATACAACAAGCAGCCACGTGAGGTCCAGCAAAGGCAAGCGGCCGTCTTTACCAGGCGAAGAGCACTTTGAGTTCCACTGAAAGATTCTGACTTACTCCTGTTTAACATAAATTCTATGTTTTATTTGTTTTGCCAGTAATAAAAGCAAACTCAAACTAAAAAACAACACAAGGGCTGTTCACAAATAAAACAGTACTTTAATTTCATTCTTTTTGTTTTTAAACCAAGTTTCCATCTGTACAATTTCAGAAAATAAACCACAAGAAGCCATTCTCTGCTTACCTCTCTTGGAGGCAGACAGGTGGCTCTGCCAACATGCACAGATGCCTGACACTCTGGAGCACACACGCCACCTCATGAAGGTAAGGAGCTAAAATGTACTGAAATTACATAGAAAAGACTCCATTTGGCTTTGCAGCAATGCAATTAATGGCATTCAGGGGCTGGCATCTCAGGCACATGAGGGGACTGGGCATCGCTCAGAACACCATGCCACACAACAAGCTTTTCTTAGCAACAGGAAAAACAAATCTTTTCCTCAAATAGAATTGTCACAGGTAAGAGCCACGAGGATTTTATTCATTGTTTAATCTTCTGGCGGCAGGATTTCTTTGAAGTGGAATCTAAATATAAATAAAAATGACGTAGCAATTTGTTAGAAGGCTTCACAGGTCTCTTAAGAAGAATTGCACAATTTCAAAACACCACCACTGCATCAATCTTATTTTTGGTAGAAATAAGAATTATAATTAAAATACAGAGTGGTTTAAATTATGACGGTTAGGAAACACTGGACAAATTATATCCTGGCTGAAACATAGTCTTTATGTTTCCTATGAGTGTAAGAGAAAGGACCAAAAGGCCCAGCTAGTCATTCAGTCAAACTGCTCCCGACACCCATTGCCAAGTACAGTGCTGCTCACACAATTCTGGGGTGTCCTCACATACAACCTTTCTTCTAATACTATTAATGACAGTTGATTATTAAGACCAAAACTAACAACAATTACTAAGCTGAATTCCAGAAGTCTTTTTTCTATATTATTTTACATTCCTAGGGTACAGTTATATTATCTTAAAAAATAGTTAGAGAAGGACTTTTATTACCTGGTGGTATCCCCCCTAGCCTTTGCTGGATCATTTCTAAATGGTGAATATATTCCGTCAAGGAATGTTCCGGATCTTCAGAAGCAGTCAGGGATCTTTCTGATCTTGAATTTGGAGATAGGTTGGATCTTCAAACAAACAAACCACCACACACCAAGAAACAAAGAAAATGAGAGTTGAAGTCAACAGACGGTGAACACGGTGAACACCAGACAGGAAGTGGTGCTGGGTCTTGCTGACCAGACAGGCTGTGGAAATGGGTAAACCCAGATGGTTGTTTCCTTCCCATCCTTTCTTTACCACAAAAGAAAAAAGTAAGGCTTCAAAAGAGTGTTGCACAGTGCTTTAAAAACCAACCTCTATGTACCGTCTCAGAGTTAAAGTGAGTAAGAATGATTGTATGTTACCTTATTCACTAAATCTCCATGTATGAATCTATTACCTCCAGTGGATTATGCACCAGAGTCCCTCAAACCCACACTCTGGGCCCTGAGGGAGGTGCCCCTCCCTGACCGTCGCAAATATCCCCCTCACTTCCGGTTTCACCTGCCCCCATCCAGTGCCCCCGTCAGCCGCCCTTCCTCCTGGTCTCCCGCCGGGCCCGGGGCCCACCATCTGTGTCATTCTTTACTTTCTCTGCAGGGTAGGGAACGTGTCTTACCTGTCCTCGTGCCATCCACATAAAAGAGGCCTCGGCCACCATTTACTCTTTCCATAAATGTTACCAATCCAGGTACCGGGGGTGCCACAGCCCCCAGACAGAGAATCTCTGTCCTCCCCAAACAGAACTGGGCTTCCAGGCCCTCACGGACTCACACTGGTGCATTCCCTGCCTTGCTCTGGGGCCGGGCCAAAGCCAAAACTTTCAAAAGACATTTCTTTGAGGAGTCACATACGCTGGTGGGACATAATCAGCAGCATAATTAGATGTCTAGTGAGCTGCAACGCTCAGCTGCTCAGAGAAGAGACTCATTGGTGCCTGAGCTGCCACGTGGCACGTGGTGCCACTGACACTGGTGCGCATTGTTTCTCCATCAGAGTAGCGACACCACAGATGGTTACACTCAAAAATGCAGTTCGCATGGAGGTGTCATCATCAACCAGAGGCCATGGAGTGAAAGAGCAAATGCTAGCATTTCATGCCCTGCTAGTCTGACGGCAGATGGGGATGATCTGCTTTGCTCCCGTGCGAGTGGAGAACGCTCACTTTAGAATACTAGGAAAGCACACAGAGGAAAAAGAGATGACACACCTACATGATTCTTAACGTGTGCAGTACAAATAGCCACAAAGACACAAACTGAACTTTTCTGTACACTTTAAGGGTACGTTCCAAATACTGGAAAATTCATAACTGAAAGAATTAAATAAATGACTCATAATCTAGAATTCCTCATTCCAGCATTTGAACAGGATTATTTACATGGTTCAACCTGGAGAGATGGAAATGGAAATCACATCTTTCATAAGTAACACTCAGAAGAGAAAGCTCATGGTCAGGAAAATGGGGTGTAACCTGTGATGAAGATAACTAAGGTTCACCACACTGCTCCTGACAGGCCACAACACATTACGTCCAATCTCCACATGGGCCTCAGATTACACATAGTCACTGAGGAAACCTTCTTTCACTTTAATATTTAAACAAAATTACCTTCTGCAATCTAACCACAAGTCTTCTTAATTGTTTTTTTAATTGAAAAGGTTTTTCTCCCAAATAACTTACAGCTGTTTAAGATTTTTGCTGTAACATCTCAATGCCCGTGTGTAAAAAACTGAAATCCCACAGAAAACAGATTAAGTAAGGCCAACCAAGGCCTTGTGTGTCTGTGTAGGGGGTGTTATTTGTGGCTGGGGGCCCCCTTCCATTAGAGGCAGGCCTAGGCACCCACACTAATCTGCCCAAGGACACCTCCACGCGCGGCAGCTTGTCACTGCAGCCTGGGCTCCTACTGATGGCTACAAACCAGGTCCCATCTACTCTGACACGGAAAAGCGGCTGAAAGCCCCACAACTCACCTTTCCCTCCTGCGAGGTGAGGCTTTTGGCACAGGGTCCTTGGCGTGGCTGGAAGACATGTCCCGGGTTGGGGATTCACTGGTTTCAGGTGGAGACTGCTGCTGCTGTGACCCCAGGAATCCTTCCCCCAGAATCACTGAACAACAAAGGGATCAAGAAAAGAGATGAATGCATCTTAGCAGGAAGGCCCATCTACCAAAATTTTAAATTTATAAGCTTTCAAGAGTCTGCCTGGGGCCGGCCCCATGGTGTAGCAGTTAAGTACGTGCGCTCCACTGCTGGCGGCCCGGGTTCGGATCCTGGGCGTGCACCAACGCACCGCTTGTCAGGCCATGCTGTGGCGGCATCCCACATAAAGTGGAGGAAGATGGGCACGGATGTTAGCTCAGGGCCAATCTTCCTCAGCAAGAAAAAAAAAAAGAGGAGGATTGGCATGGATGTTAGCTCAGGCCTGATCTTCCTCCACCCCCCCCCCCAAAAAAAGAGTCTGCGTGGCAATCTGAAAACATTTTTAAAGTACTAAAGTTATAAAAGTTAGATTTTAAAAAGCTCTAGAAGAAACCTGAGTTTTGATCACCTATACTTTACTCCTGGCAAGGCTGACCCTGAGCCCCAGCCTCCGTACAGGCAGTGCCCTGGAAGAGGGCTCAGGGCCCTGATGGAGGCAGCAGGGTGCCAGGTGAGCCTGGGGTGGGGTCTCCTCCACCCAGCTCTGAGGAGTGGGCTCAGGAGAGGGAGGGGCAGAAACCCTGGAGACCACGCACCCGATGCACCCCAGCGGGGACAAACTTCCTTAAAGGACTAAAGGCTAACAAAGCATTCCGATGTCAAGAAGTAACAATGAAGGTGTGCAAATCAATTCACTGCCAGGGAAGCCCAGTCACCATGATGGTCGGCAGAGCTCCAGGGCGCTGCCCAAATGCAGCCTCCCCTCCAGGTGGCCAGGGCCCCACAGGACCAGGGGCCACGTCCCTTTGCTGGGTGGGAAGTTCTCTGCGTGCGTTTACACGCGGGGCAGTAACCCACCCAGAGGCCTGCTCTCGGCGCCAGCGCCCATTCTGTGTGGGGGCAGCAGCAGAGAACCACAGAGACAAGATGTGATTGAGCCAAAAGTAAGCAATGATGCTCTCAAAGGAGAGATGTGGCAGCATGAAGTAAAACTTCACTTGATTTTGGAGAATAAAAAAGACGTTTTATTAAAAATAAGTTATTAGTCAATATATTTAAGATTTTTATCTTTTTCAATCTCATTTGCTCCTTTGAACTATTTTCATTCACTGACATTAACTGTATAAACTGTGTTTTTATTTGTGCTTGTTCCCAACATAAACACCATTTTCCTTCAAAACCCATCTCCTGCCCCTTGGACAACTGCCCAGACTGAATTTACTGATTTCTCACTGTTCTTCATTACGTCCCCGTGAGCACTGAGAAGGGCCAGCGTGTCAGGGCGACGATACGCCTGGAGGCGGCGTTTACGCACGCGGTCAGTTAAGGGAGCGGCCGCAGTCCCACCAGTCCCACCTGGCTGGGGCGCTCTGCCTCGCACCAGAGCTCCCTTCCGATCTACTTCTTGCCATTTCTTAACCAAAAAACGTAACCTACAAAAAAAGAGGAGACAAAACATTGAAAACTAGAGCAAAACAAGAGTGAAAGTCCAACGTGACCAACAACTGGAATTAGAAGGTGGGTGGGCTCTGCCTCGTCACGGCCAACTCACCCAGGGCAGCGACCTGATGACCTGATGTCTGCGCCCCAGCACCTTTCCCGCCGTGACCCCTCCTGACCCCCACCAGCTAGGGTCTGTCAGACTCCAGTTCAAAATCAGTCTGCAACACCCGGACAGACAGCAGCAAACAGAGGCCCTCGCCCTCACGCGTTTTCCCTCAGACGGGGAGCAGGGATGTTAGGGTGAGGAGTGCCACGTCGGGTGACGGGAGGGGAACAGTGTGGGGGCTCCTAGACCCCTTCCCAGGATGGTCCCTCTCCTAGGACGGCCCCTCACGTCTGCAACTTCCCTCCTCCTTGGCTTGGCGGACATCACGGATTCTCCAGATAAGGCCCCTCCGGAGGAGGCCTCCTGGGCAGCCCCTTGTAGGCCCTACTGCCTCTGTGAGCCCCAGAGGCCTTCCTGGAAGGCATTTTCTCCTTGGTGTTAAAATTACTGCTGCACTGGAATGATCTTCCTCGCTTGAGAGGAAGATGGGAGGCAGGGTGTGGTCTGTTCATCTGTCCTCCTCTGGGCATTCTCTCCAAGGATATCGGATGGACAGACAGATAGAAACAGACATGTGGGTGGGTAGTGTGGTCAGGAGAATGCAGGGGTGAGGGGACTAAGTGCCCTGAAGCTGAGAGGGCCTCCCCACCCCACCAGGGCTCCCAGCAGGCGGCTGGCTTCCCCCAGCGGGCCGCGCTGGTGGGCACGGTGCTGGGTCTCTGCGAGGAACAGGATTCCCACCCACTCTCTGTAGCACAGTCCACCCTGCTGTGCCCGTTCCCGCGGACAAAGGTAAGCGTGACCTGGAGGAGGCACCTCCACGGGCATCACGGAACAGACACGGCCGCACAATTCGTAGTGGGAAAAACAGTTTTAGAAATTCAGCATATTGTAAAATTAGACTATAAAATGGATTTTCATCACTGTTAATTTTGAAATGGTCAAAATTCCCAATCACACCAGGGAGTCACATCTTTGTTCCAAAACTGACACTGTGCAAATAACGGCTGAGAACGAGCAATGCCTTTGGATGGGGCGGGTGGGCAGAGCCGGGTCAGCATCGAAGGTGGAGATGGAGGCCCCCCCCTTGCGCCCTGCAGCGGGCTGCTCCTCCCCTCCCCCCAGAGCAGGGGTCAGAGGGCCAAGACTGGAAAGCCCCTGCGCCACAGCCACCACCAGGTGGCGCATGTATTCTTATACACCTAACACCTTTTACGTAACACGAATTTGACTAAACTATAAGAAACTGAAATATGAAGAGGTGAAATGCAGTTTTAAACTTGATCAGATGTGCCTGTCCTGGCAAGAGACCCATTATACCCATTAAGGGGCACAGTGTTGTCTTGTGATAAAAAGGCATTCTTAAATCTTTTCGTTCTAGAAGGAGATAATTTTGCACATGATTTCTTAAAGACAAGTGTTATCTATATCTTCTTTAAAACATCAAATGTCATTCATCTTAAAATAGAATACAATGGTAGAGTTTCAAAGACTAAAACCACCACAACGCGCCTCCTATTCACGAAGACGGCGGCAGCACATGCCTCAATGTTACCTGAATATTGCAATCACCACCCTGACCGCAGTTCGAAACTTTGTAAAAGGACGGGATGCAGTAACTTTCTTATCTGCTTTGGAAGGAAATACTCCCAAATGAGCAATCATGGAGAGTGTTTCTTGTTCAGAGTCCTGGAATCCACCAATCAACAGTAAAAGATACTTCTTTTGATAAATCAGAGCTTTTCTAAAGCTCTCTGCTCTCAAATAATGCAAGTACAATTTTTCCATCTGAAAGAAAAAAAAAAGTAAAACTTAATCACAGAGCTAAGACACCTTGCTGACAAATCTTGTATGCACATGTGCACCAATGTGCTTTACAAAGAACCAGACTACTTTCTTCCTCAGCAAATTACCACAGAAATCAGCCCTGCATGACATCTGTAACCAGAGACAACCCTGCTGTTAAGAGTTCGATCTTGTTTATCAGACAAAATGTAGACCACAGACGTTCTTTCCACAGCATTGAAGGGGCCCCCACAAAGGACCATGAATTTGACACTAAGTAAGGTCTAACTGGGGGTGGGGTGGGGGGTCTCATCACAGCTTCCATGAACATCACGGGGGTGAGAGGAGGGCTGTGGGAACCCCCTCAATTGTACCCAGAGGTTGGTATCCATATCCTAACAGGCAATTTTCCCTCAAGAGAGGGCCCACGGCTTATATATCATTGTCAAAAATGATGACTAGTGAAATGCTGGTCTAGGATTTTTTCAGGCTGCAGAGACTATTATCTGATGACTCAACATGAGCACAGAAATGTATTTGTATACAACTACACCAAGTTTCAAATGAAAGTTTATTTTCTTCAACTTCCCTTATCTGAAATGACTTGACAACTAGAATCAGCATGTCTTCTTACTGTTAACAGGCACATGTTTGATACATGTGTTGGCAACTATGTCCAGGAAAGGAGAACCTCACAGTCATGACAATGCTTTGGCCTGCTACAATGAACAAACCCAGGATTTTAAAAAGCGTCAATTAGGGGGTATGGGCGGAGGGATGAGTAGGAGGAGCACAGTGGATTTTTAGGACAAACCACTCTGTATGATAGTATAATGGTGGACACGTCATTACACATTTGTTCAAACTCATAGAACGCACAACACCCAGAGTGAACCTAATGTAAACTGTGGACTCTGGGTGATGATGACGTGTTGATGGAGGTTCACTGACTTTAACAGGTACACCACTCCGGGGAGATGCTGACAGTGGGGGAGGCTGTGCATGTGTGGGGCCGGGGGTCTATGGGAAATCTCTGTACCTTCCCCTTAATTTTGCTGTAAAGGTAAAACTGCTCTAAAAATATAAAGTCTTAAATAACGAGCACCAACTAGACCATGCTCTGTACACCTGACACGGCCCTCAGCTTGGCCTTACTTTGATGTTGGAGACTTTTGCTTCCTCGCTTGCAGCCGGCGTGGGCAGTCCTGGGTCTGGGTGTTGTGGTGAGCTCTGCAGGACCATCCTGTCTTGCTTCCATGCTGACCTGTCTGACCTCTGAAACAAACACAGACAGCACCATCTACAGAGAGGTCTTTTATTTCCTCATTTTTTACCGAGGTCACACTGGTCTGTAACACTGTATACACTTCAGGTGTGCATCATTGTATCTCTCCTTCTGTAGAAACTGCTTTGTGCTCCCCACCAAGAGTCTAGTTGCCAGTGCCTCCTCGTACATGTGTTCCCTTTGCCCCTTTCACCCTCCCCCACCCCCTGCCCTCTGGTGACCACCAATCTAGAGTTGTTCTTACACAAGAACATCTTGGGAAGAAGGGCTAAGAGTAGAGGAGAGTGGACGACTGCTCCCAACCCCAACCCCAGGGAGAAGGTCATGTTCAAACACCTCGTTCCTTCCATGGTTGTTCCCCCAGGCCCTTTCCCGTGTGAGGCCCCATGGGTGGGAGAGGGCGCTGGGGGCTCTCAGCAGGCTGGGTGCATGGACATGGCCGAATGCCTATGGTCCGAATGCCAGGACACGGCCATGCCTATGTCCATCCTCAGCATCTTTTCTGTGGTACCCAAATTGTTCCATGATACTAGTGAGAAGATAATTAACACTTATGTGGTGATTATTACACACCATTTACTCAAGTATGATTGCACAAAAGGTGCATTTTTATTAAAAACAAAAAAACAAGTATTTGTGAAATAACCCTGAATTCAAAGTTTTACTCCTATTAAACACCTTCATATTCCCTGGTCCTAGAAATGCTAACTCCTGGCTCTGCTCTAGCATCATCAAATCACACGCCAACCTTAGTGAGGGCCCCACACAGGAGCCCTTCATGCCAAGGGATGGGCACCATGCAGAGAGGACATCGTGACCAGGCAACTGTCTGAACGTACACAGTACGGCCGGGACACGACAGCATGCAGAGGAGCCCAGAGCTCCAGTGGGGAATACATTAATAGAGGGAGAAGGGTCCCATAGTGAGGGGAACAAAGGTGCCACCCACAACTGATGACCAGGACCCGCCTGTTCCCGAAGCCGAAAGAAGCTCAAAGCACTTGCTGGGGCCATGTGGTCAGTGGCCTCTGTCCAGCAGTTTGGAACAGAAATCAAAGGCAGCCTGGTCGTGCCAACCCACAAGTCCAGGGCAAGGCTGAGGAAGGAGGAAGCTGGAGCCGGGGGTATGGCGATCCTATCGAACAGCTCTCACGTGACCTCCCTGATGAGGCAGAAGGAAAAGACTGATGTTACCCTGGTTCTAAAACACAGCTTGGTCATTTCTGGAAAGAAATGCTCAAGGAATAGAAGTCATCTTGGACATGAAGCAGAAAATACTCCAGCAGTTCACTCTCAGCCTACCTTTGATTTACACATTAAAAATATTTTCTTCCTGATTTCCTTGTTAACTTTCACATAAAGAATAAAACGCATTCTGGGGCCGGCCCAGTGACATAGTGGTTAAGTTTGCACGCTCCGCTTCGGTGGCCCAGGGTTTGCAGGTTTGGATCCCGGGTGTGGACCTACACACCGCTCATCAAGGCATGCTATGGCAGGCGTCCTGCATGTAAAGTAGAGGAAGACTGGCAACAGATATTAGCTCAGAGCTAATCTTCCTCATCAAAACAAAAAGAATAACAGCATTCTACTGGTGACTGTGCTTTAGTCCACAGAGGCCCAAGGGGACACTCTCAACAGGGACTGCCAACACACTTTCTGAGCAAGTTCCAGAGAAGCAGACAGGGCTGCGAACTGACACTAATGGCAGCTCTTGTCAGGGTTAGAACGTGGAGCCTTTAAAACTTCTCACATCAAAGAATGGAAGTCGTGGATCTGCTTGTCCCTTTACCTCACCTACCAACAGAGTTCAAACAAAGCAGAACTGGGTAGAACTGAAAGAAGAAACAGACAAATCCACAGTCCTCTTCAGAGACATCCACACTCCCCTCCCAGTAACTGACAGCACAAGCAGGAAGAGGCTGGGCAAGGTCACTGGAGAACCGGATCCAATGGACTTCTGTAGGACACACCCACCAACAGCACAAACTTCAAACTCATCACTAAAAACCTTCCAAGACAGTGACGTCAGCATCAAGGCAGAGTGAGCTTTCCCCTTAGACTCTTCGCCAAGGTACAACAAAAAGGACATCCACATACCAACAGAGAACATTCACACAACACAAAAGATGTCTGGGAGACCCAAGCAGCCTTACATCTGAAGGTGGAGGTGCTGGAATCCCCGAAGGAAGTGGAAGGAGGTAAGAAGAACTCCTCTCCTTCCCCAGTGACAGCGACTCCAGGTCCATGCAGCTCTCAGGGGGGGGGGGGGGGGGGGACGGCCCTCCACGGGAAAACCGTTGCTCTCCAAGTTCCCCCACAGCCCGTGAGAAACTCACACACGGAAAGGACTGAACTGTTGTAGGGGTGTCTTCACCTAGCTACCACTCCAGGAGAGCCGACAGTGAGGGAAAAGCAAGAAACCCCCAGGATTTGGCAGGCGAAAGAAAGCGCCCCACCCCCGACCTGGCACTTCAGCTCAGCTGGTCGCCCAGAGCGCCTGCGGGCTCAAAACACACAGCTCTTGACCCCACTCAGTGGCGGCAGGTGGAAGCTACGACCAGATATTATCAATATGAGGAAAAACAAACCCAGACCCTCAAACAGTATGCAAAAATATGTTCTCCAGACCAGAAGGAAAAGGACAAGAACCCAGAAATCAATCCTGAAGGAACAGAAATTTATAATCAAAATGATGGAGAATTCAAAGTAGCTGTCATAAGAAAGCTCAACAAGTTAAAAGACAATACAGATAGATAGTTCAATGAAATCAGGAAATTCTTCACAAAAGATACTGAAACTATAAAGAAAAAGCAATCAGAAATGTTGGAGGTGAAAAACAATGGAGGAGATAAAGAAAAATCTGGAATCTTTAAAGAACAGAGCTGACAATATGGAGGAAAGAATTAGCAAAATAGAAGATAGGAATGCAGAAATTCTCTAGATGGAGGAGGAGAGAGAACTAAGACTAAAAAGTAACAAAGAAATTCTCCAAGAAATATCCGACTCAATTAGGAAATGCAACATAAGGATTATAGGTATTCCAGAGAGAGAAGACAGGGAAAAAGGAGCAGAGAGTTAGTCCAAAGAAATAATAGCTGAGAACTTCCCAAATTGGGGAAGGAGCTGGAAAGACAAGTGAATAAAGTCAACAGATCTTGTAAATATATCAACATGAAAAGACCCTCTCCAAAGCATATAGTAGTAAAGCGGGCAAAAGTCAATGACAAAGAAAAAATATTAAGGGAAGCAAGACAAAAAAGATAACGTACAAAGGAATTCCTATCAGGTTCTCAGTGGATTTCTCAGCAGAAACTTTGCAGGCTAGGAGAGAGAGGAATGATATATTCAAAATTCTGAAACACAAAAAGTTTCAGCCAAGAATACTCTATCCAGCAAAAATATCCTTCAGATATGATGGAGAAATAATAACTTTCCCAGATAAACGAAAACTAAGGTATTTCATTGCCACAAGATGCCCACTACAAGAAATGCTCAAGAAGGCCCTCACCCCCCCCAAAAAAAAGAGTAAGGGGATACAAAGCCTAGAGCAAGGAGAAAAATAGGTAGACAAAATCAGAAAAATTGCAGCTCTCTATCAGAATAGGTTACCAAACACTTAATTATAATACCAAAGATAAAGGGAAGGAAAACACCAATAATAAATATAACCTCATCACTTTAAACACAAGCTCACAACACAAGATGGAATAAGTTGTGACGATGGTAACTTAGAAGGGGAAGAGGAAAGGGAGGGAATCAACTTAGTCTAAGGAAATAAGAGACCATCAGAAAATGGACTATCTCATCCATGAGATGTTTTATACAAACGTCATGGTAACCACTAAAAAAACAATCAGAATAGAGACACATATGATAAATAAAGAGAAAACTAAAAAAACCATCATACAGAACTACCAACTGAATTGGTTGTCTGAAACACACGGGATGAGAAACAAAGGAAATGCAGAAGAACCAGAAAATGAGCAATACAATAGCAACATTAAGGCCTCATATATCAATAATTACTGTAAAGTTAAATGGATTGAATTCTCCAGTCAAAAGACACAGTGGTGGGATGGATTAAAAAACAAGACCCAACAATATGCTGCCTTCAGGAAACACATCTTAGCACTAAAGACAAACACAGGCTCAGAGTGAAAGGATGGAAGACAATACTCCAAGCTAATGGCAAACAAAAGAAAGCAGGTGTTGCCATACTTATATCAGACAAAGCAGACTTGAAGATAAAACAGGTAATGAGATACAAAGAAGGGCAATAGATAATGATAAAAGGGACACCCCACCAAGAACACATAACACTTATATTTGCACCCAACACAGGAGCACCAAAATACATAGGGGAATTATTAACAAACTTAAAAGGAGATATCAACAACAACACAGTAATAGTAGGGAACATTAACACCCAACTTACATCAATGGATAGATCATCCAGACAGAAAGTCAATAAGGAAATAGTGGACTTAAGCAAAAAACTAGATGAGATGGACTTAATAGATACATATAGAGCACTCCATCCAAACAATTCTTCTCAAGTACACATGGAACATTTTCAAAGAGAGACCATATGTTGGGAAATAAGGCAAGCCTCTAAAAATTTAAGAAGACTAAAATTATAACAAGCATCTTCTCCAACCATAATGTTATGAAACTAAAAATCAACTACAAGAAAAAACTGGGAAAGTGACAAAGATCTGGAGACTAAACAACATGCTACCGAACAACCAATGGATCGCTGAAGAAATTAAAGGAGACATCAAAAAATATCTGGAGACAAATGAAAATGAAAATACACCATACCAACTCATATGGGACGCAGCTAACGCAATCCTGAGAGGGAAACTCATAGCTATACATGCCCACCTTAACAAACAAGAAAAATCCCAAATAACCAACATTAAACTACACCTTACAGAATTAGAAAAAGAAGAACAGACAAAGCCCAAAGTCAGCAGAAGGAGAGAAATAA